GCAGATTGTGTACTCTAAGCTACACACTACAGAAGACTCTTTAAAATCACAAAATAAAAGTTATTTCAACAGATAAATTTGTGCAATGTCCTCACACACATCACTGGCAAATATTTCCGTTTGGATAATATCTAAATTGCACCTAGTAAGAAAGAGTTCATTAAACCTTTCATTTTGTTACATTAAAATCCATTTGTCTTGCATTACGCATGATTTTGTGACATCATTCAAGGTCTGGAAAAGAGAGCAGAAATTTCTAGGGTTGCCCCCCCACAAAACTTACCTGCTGTAGCCACAGTTTAAGACTTCTGAGAAGCAAACCCAAAGTTTAAACCTAAATGTGGATCAGTTGCAACACATATAGAATTTCAACCTTACAATGTCTGTTATTTGGATGTAAGTGAATGGAATAGGAAGGATTGGGTCTCTGAGAACTAAGATGAAGACAAGCTGGCAGACTCTGGTGAAGCTGGGAACAGCTTCCTGGGTATGTGACCTGTGCAACCTACAGGACCCCAGTTAATGCACTATCACTGCCTTGACATTTTTCAATAGTTTTGTTTTTAAACTTGTGTGAGTAAGAGCATGTGGGTGAGCAGAGGAGATACACAGGGCAGCAGAACACAGGACAGAAACATATGCAGGTTCAGGTTCATGGGCACAGTGGGCAGCGTGTGAGCTGAGCAGCTGGATGGGCTATTTGGAATGCATGAGCGCACAGGGCTCTCTGGTGTTCGGCTATCCAAAGTGAGTGACAGTAAACTTTTCAGTAAATTATTACATAATAAAAGCATATACATGGACAGGCGATAAGGTATATTGGAGAGTTATCAGAATCCTTAAAAAAGTTTAGAGACTGGTTTTGAAAGTTGATAAAAACATTACAAGTTGAATATCTGCAGGTTTAGAAATAGAAATTACATGTAAGGATAGCAGCTTAATGGAAAAAGCAGCATTTTCTTACTTTTCAAAGCTATCTTTTTTTCTTAACATCTTTTTTCCCACTTTTATTTTAGAATTGGGGGTTCATTTGTAGATTTGTTATAATGGTATATTATGTGATGTTCAAGTTTGGGTAATGAATCCATTACCCAGGTGGTGAACAAAGGACTGAAAAGGTGATTTTTTTTCAACCGTGAATCCCCTCCCTCTGTCCATTCTCTTGTATTCCCTAGGGTCTATTGGTCTCAGTTTTAAGACCACGTATGTCTAATGTTTAGCTCCTACTTATAAGTGAGAACATGTCATATTTGGCTTTATGTTTCTGGGCTAGTCCACTTAGGATAATGGTTTCCAGCCACATTCATGGCTGCATAGTATTCCAGGTGTATATGTACCATGTTTTCCTTATCAAATCCACTGTTGATGGGCACCTGGGTTAATCCCATGCCTTTGCTATTGTGAATAGTGCTGCGATGAACAGATGGGTACCTATGTGTTTTGGTAGGATGATTTATTTTCCTTTGGGTGTATACCCAGTAGTGGGATTGCTGGGTGGAATGGTAGTTGAACTCTCAGTTCTTTGAGAAATCTCCAAACTGCTCTCTACAGTTGCTGAACTAGTTTACATTCCCACCAACAGTGTGTGAGTATTGACTTTTCTTCACAGCTTCATCAACATCTGCTATTTTTTGGCTTTTTAACAGAAGTGAAACATGGTGGTTTTAGTTTGCATTTTTCTGATGATTAGTGATGAACATTTTTTTCATGTTTGTTGGCCTCTTATATTTTTTTTTGAGAAGTGTCTGAAGAACATTATTTTCATGTGAAGTTTTGAACAGCCATGTTTTAACATAGAGGATAATTTTGAAATTAATTTTTTAATAATTGAAGATACAGTGATAAAATGAATAAACAAGCATTGTGAATTATACCTATATCATTAAGCCACTTCCAGTTTCTTACACAACTTCTACAAGTTACTACAAATTTCAGAGGAAACATTAAAATAGCACTGTATAAATTTACATTGAAAACTGAGTTCAGATGTACATAAAACTGATTTGTGGTAAGAAATAAATTGTTTTAGGAAAATTGTTTCACAGGAACCATCAACCATTAATTTACTAAAATTTATATTTCAATTAATCCATTAAATAATTATGGTAATGTTGTCACAGTATATAAAATACTCTTAAGAGGTCCAGTGTCAGTTGCGTCAGCAGAAATATCCTTCTAGCAGTTAGAAATGAAAAATTCTAGTTAAGATCTTGCATTTAATAAGAGCACTTGACATTGCTTTCATTTATATGCTTGAAAATGAAGTTGCTCCAGGCATGAATTTTGTTAACCTCATAAATTAATTTGCAGAAAATTGAGCCATAAAATTTTATTAATTAAGATACTATACTAAAGTATTATATTAATTTATGACACCAAAATTTTAAACCAATTTTATGTTTTTCTTAAATATCATTATAACCCTATTGTGTTTTATAAGTAATAAAATATTTTAAGAAAAAACCTTGACATTTTATTTCCTAATGGCACATTTTTTCCTGTCTTTTGAATAAGAAATCCTAAATTTTCATTTTGCACTGAGTCCCACAAATTGTACAGCCGGCCCAGCTGGAAATCTTGAATTCCCAAGCTAAATTTTGAAGGAAAGATTTTGAAGCCAGAAAGCAATCAGGGTGTTTGAGAAAGTGCCTTTTGCTTTACATATTAGTAAACTCCTATACTTCTTCCATGTTCTCCAAGTTGCTGAGGAGTGTGTGTGTGTGTGTGTGTGTGTGTGTGTGTGTGTGTATGTTTCCTTCAAGACAGATATGATACATTATAAAGATAAGAAATAGATCTCCAGAAGGGAGAATCCTGCCTCCTTATAGCTCAGCCATTGTGTCCACTCTCATATCACTGCTTGTGATGGTCTTTGTACTTAGAGAGTCAAGTCTCATTTTATTTCATTTTACTATGGATTTAGGCTCCCCTTAATCTATCTAGCACTAATGTTATAGGAAGAATGAAAATTCACATAGAAACTTATCTGAAGGATGCTGTCTTTGTTTCTAAAGGGGCCAAGGATTGATAAGGGTAACCTCAGACCCATTGCATTGTGTATAGATGTGAAAATGCTTTTGGGGTTCCATGATGCAAGACAATTTCTCCATGCATTACCATACTTTACACTGCACACAACTGATCCTCATTAAATATTTGCTCTGTTAAATAGAATAAAATAATTTTGCAGCTGGAAAAGCACTTAGAAATCCTCTAGTCCAATTTCATTTTTATAAAGACAGAAACTGTATTCAAGATACTAGTATAAAACCTTTAGACAGTAAATGAGCCAGGAATAGAAAGAAACTGTATTTCCTCCCTTCCCTCTTAGCATTGCTTCCCCTGCCTCCTTCCTGCAGGACCATATTGCCCAGCAAAGAGAAACTGATGAAAATATAGCCACTTTGATCTCTGCAGTTTGGGTCTGGGAAAGATTTGGTCCAATCAGTTTGACCATGAGAATGGAGAGTTCCAATTTGTGTAAACATTTGCCACTTTGGGCAAGAAGATACTCAGGCTGAACCACTGTTGTTCTACTAGCAGGTCAGTCCATGAATCACTGGCTTCCGTAGGAGTGAGCCGAAAGTGACAGTGCCATCCTCAACTCCTGGATGCATTTCTAAGAATTTTCCTAAAAACAGCAAGGTACATACCTTATGCTGGGTGGATATTCTTTGAAAGAAGACTGTGAACATAATAAGCATCATTTTACATTGTTTAGAAATATTCACTAAATTGGGAAGCTAAGGGGAACGTAGCCCTTCTGTAGCTGACAGTTCATGAAAGTGCTGGAAAAACTTTTCTGGGCCAACACTTTGATAATGAGTCTACGAAATTCAATGAAATAATCACCAGGCTGGGAATTTTGTCCAGGGCATGGCTGTACCCAGATACAGTTAATATACAAATGCTGTGCTCCATATGAGTGGTCATATTCAGACCATTACATTCAGTTCTGAATGCCATAACTCAAAAGGACAAATATTAACCTATGTGTCTGTCCCCAAAAAGAAAGTAATTTGCTCAATGAAGGATTTCATAATTGTATTGTATGAGGAATGGGTGAGATAACTGAAGATCCTTAGAGTGGAGAAATTTCCCATATGGAAAAACGCATTTCATATGTACAAACATATTTATGTATTGAGTTGAGATTCCTAATTACAGCTGTCTGTAACTATTTGAAGGTGTGAGATGTAAATAAATTATTAGATTTAGCCTCTATGACTCCAGGGGACTAGTGAGTACAAATCACAGGAAAGGGGCTTCTGTCCTGGAGATGAGATAGTCTTGGTTTCCTAGGTACCATTTCGCATGATCAGTATTTTACTGTCAGTTTTCTGTTTGTACACAGGAAATATTTAGGCTTCCATTAATTTATTCTTACAGAAGTAATTGGAAAATATCAAAAATTAAAGTAGATGAGAAAGATTTTTTGGCAGAAAGAAAAAAACCAGGAAACATCCAGGACTGAAGGACTTTCTCAATATCTTGGAGAAAAACATTATGGTGGGGTTTGGGAGAAAAATGATAAATATGGAATCTGTACCAGCAATGGCTGAGGCAACAGCAGTTCAGACCAGAAGAGTTGGCCCATACTTTAGAGGAAATTCCACTAAGGATATGAGGCAGTCCCTGTATTTAAGGACATACCATATTGATATCATCCATTTTGTTATCAAAAAATAAAATCATCTTAATAATAAAGTTACATATGGTTACCTTTTTTGAATCTGCAGCCTGATATTTTCTGAAAATTTCTTCTTGTTCTTTCAAGACTTTGTAGAAAACAAGACATATAGCCATAGGAAAAGACTTCTTAAAACACGCCAGATTTCTCCTTGCAAACCGGCCCAAACTGTGGGTCAAATTATTCCTACTGTTGGAGTATGAATAACTTATGGAAGTTGTCCCCCTCCTCCTTTATCTTTGCACTTAAGTTTTTGCCTTTTATTAAAGGTATTTTTATTCAAGAAATATTCTACATTTTGATTGTTGTTACTTTCAATTTTCTGGGAATAGCAAGGTCACATGCAAGACCAGGCTTGGAGAAGCAGAACCTCCAGTAATAAGTGCTTGAAATATTGAGGGGTCCTCTCTCTCTTACTCTGATCTTTGGCTTACATACTCCTTAAAGAAAGAGTTTTCCTCCATAACAAACAAGTCATGATGGTAGACTTGACCTAAATGGAAGGCATTATTTTTTCTTTGTTTATGAGCGTGAATTATGGTATTTCCCTAATTTCAAACATACAAACTCAGCACATTATTAACTAAACATCAACAGCATCTACTTCTTTCCAGTTTATAAATAATGGCTCAGTAGAGTGCATAACTATAGAATTAGATATCTACATTCTTACTAGGCATTTAATCTCTGATTGAACACCCAATTTGTTTGACTCACGGCTGCTCTTGTGCACCTGAGTGCCTCATAGGGTTAGCAAAAAACATTCAACCAGCAATTTCAGTAGTTAGGGATGTGACCACAAGATGGTAGTGCTTCTCTGCTGAGGCAGAGTAGAGGGTTCTGAATGAATAGGCTTATGGTAGCAGCAGAGGCTTTTTCTTATTGGTTGGGTACACAATGTGAGAAACCACTATGGTTGTTAGAGGAGAGAAGGGACAACCTGATGATAGGAGTGACTCTTATAACTGGAGGTTGCAGGCGTATGACTTATCTTAACTGGGAAGAACAATGATGACATCCATTCGCGCTGTATTTATATTCTTGTGGCTGCAGCTGGATTGTGAGTTGGGGGTTTTTGGGTAACAGAGTAAATTCGTGGATATTCTTTAGAAGTTCAAAGAGAAGACTTGCTTTATTTGGATTTCCTCTTGTTACTATGAAAAATACTTCTAGAGAGTAATCATCTAATAACTCCTCTTATATCTTTGATATTTTTCTTTCTGCATAGCGGTGAATGGAGAGAATGTGGAGCAGCGTCCTTCTACTCTGAGTGTCCAGGTGGGAGACAGCTCTGTTATCAACTGTACTTATTCAGACAGTGCTTCAAACTACTTCCCTTGGTATAAGCAAGAACTTGGAAAAGGACCTCGGCTCATTATAGACATTCGTTCAAATGTGGACAAAAGGAAAGACAGAAGAATGACTGTTTTATTGAATAAGACAGCCAAACATTTCTCCCTGCACATCACAGACACCCAACCTGGAGACTCAGCTCTCTACTTCTGCGCAGCTGGTACACATTGCTTCCCAGGCACCTGCTACCCGTACTGAAACCTGAGACTGGAGCTGAAGCTGCACTCCCTTTCCTTTGTCATAAACCTACAAGTATAGCATTTGTCATACAGTTTGTTTGCAACTTGAAACTAACATATTGACATTAAAAGCACATAAAAAAAGGTTAGTTAGGTTCAAGGTGACCTGGAAAGGCTTAGAACATTTTGTTGACTGATTGTTGCTTAATGAATTTTTTTCTAACATTTATATTGTTGTATACGTTTAAGGTATGCAACATGATGTTTTGACATACATATACATAGTAGAAAAATGAACAGCCAGATGAAGAGATGCATAGGGCAAGGTGCAGAAGAGGGAGTGCCGAGCTTCCATGTTTTCTCTGGCTGTGCCTCCTCCCAGGCACCTCTGTGTGCTCATTCAGTGATCAGGAGGCTCTGCTCAGTAGATTCTTAAAAGGAATTATTTTAAAATCTAGGCCTTAAAGATGAGTTTATATTTTCCTATAAATTTGGATTCCTCTGCTATAAATAACCCTTAATATCAATATCACAATCCTTGTTATGAATGTGCTTTTCACTCTTGTCATTTGAAAATTGTGTTATTTTTTTTCTGATTGTAAAGCATTATATGCCAAATACAGAAAATATGTAAAAGGCTGGGCACTGTGGCTGACGGCTGTAATCCCAGCACTTTGGGAGGCCAAGGCCGGTGGATCACAAGGTCAGGAGTTCAAGATGAGCCTATCTAAGATGGTGAAAACCCGTCTGTACTAAATATACAAAAATTAAACTGGGCGTGGTGGCTCATGCCTGTAATCCCAGGATTTTGGGAGGCTGAGGTGGGCAGATAACAAGGTCAGGAGTTCAAGAGCAGCCTGGCCAGCATGGTGAAACCCTGTCTCTACTAAAAATACAAAAATTTAGCAGGGCGTGGTGGCATGCACCTGTAATCCCAGCTACTCAGGAGGCTGAGGCAGGAGAATCGCTTGAACCCAGCAGGCAGAAGTTGCAGTGAGCCGAGATGGAGCCATTGCACTCCAGCCTGCGTGAGAGAGCGTGACTCTGTCTAAAAAAAAAAATACAGAAAATGTGAAATTCATAATCCTATACCCCAGATATTGTTTTGCTAATATTTGATTAGTCTTCATAGATTTTTTTTTATAACTAGGATCATGATTTATTTACTATTATTATATTGTGAATTGAGCATTCTTCATTTTATCATGTCCTCTCCTCAAACACTTCTTTTTTAAAAGCTCTGTGAGAAATTTTTATAAGTCACAGCAATTTTTATTTTCTTCTTCTCTCTACTTGTGGTAACATATGGCATCTCTTTCTTCCCGCCGTTTTTTGTTAAGAAAATGTCACTGGGATTTTCCTTTAGAGTCCAGTGATTATACATATTGTTTGTGTGCTTGAGGGAAATTAAGATAGGAATTTATATGAGAATTTGAGCTTCAGAATAGACTTGCCAATCAATTATTTTCAACTCTTATTAATATGCTAGCGATTACGTTCTCATAGAATTTAGAAAGGAGAGATGTGTGTTTTAATAACTGCTATATCTGCAAAGCCCAGAACAATCTTTTTCACATAGTTAATAGTCGATAAATGTTTGTTTAAAAAAAAGAAGAAAAAAGTTAATTATGCTATAGTATAGTCAAAATTTTAATTTGGTTAAATTAAATTTAAAAGTTGATTTTTGAAGTATAAAACATCTTAAAATGTATGCGTGAGTACCTGATTATTCAAGAACATAGTATTTCTTTTCATTTTCCTATGTCTTTCTCCATGAAGTTTTATTGTTTTCAGATAGTTAAATTTATTCCCACACATTTAATTTTTATTGCCACCTTTATCTTTCTTTCTATGGCACATGAGAATGTTTTTTAATACATTTTTCAGTTATCCTACTCATTTTCTTTCTTCTCCTTTTTTTTTTTTTTTTTTTTTTTTGAGACAGAGTATCACTCTGTCGCCCAGGCTGGAGTGCAGTGGTGTAATCCTAGCTCACTGCAAACTCTGCCTCCTGGGTTCAAGTGATTCTCCTGCATCAGCCTCCCACGTAGCTGGGAATACAGGTGCCTGCCACCACACCTGGCTAATTTTTGTATTTTTAGTAGAGATGGGGTTTCAATATGTTAGCCAGGCTGGTCTCGAACTCCTGATCTCAAGAGATCCGCCTGCCTTGGCCTCCCAAAGTGCTGGGATTACAGACGTGAGCCACTATGTCTTACAACAGGCCTTTGGACCAATGGTTAATTTACAGACAGCTTGCTACAAATCTCCCTACCTCATTTTCATGTTTGACTGAATTAAACATTACTACCACAATTTCCTTTAAAAGAGTTGTATGTTTCAGTGTTGTAGATAAATCAGTGGAAATAAAGACAGTGCATAAATAATTAATTCTCTATTTCTCCCACTTGTGGTCAAGGGTAAGCTAATTTTAAGATCTCATATTATTCCCACAGATGGATCTAATCAGCAGTTGGCATGGGGAGAATAATTCCACCTGGCTGAGTTATGGCTGTTAGTTATGATTTGTTCTTAAAGTGAAAATAATTAGATTAAATTAGGGTTAAAACAGCTGGACAAGAAAGGTCAGCTGTTCCTTGTCTCTTCCAGCTCTGATGGCTGCCTCCATTTCTTGGCTTGTGGCTCCATTACTCTGATCTCTGCCTCTATGATTGCACTGCTTCTCTTCTTTTGTCATCTCCCTCTGCCTCCCTATTAAAAGTACACACGTGATTACATTTAAGGCCCATTTAATATAGGATAACCTCTCATCCCAGGATCCTTAATTTAATCATAGCTGCAGTATCTTTTTCCCCGTGGCTACATAAGATAACTTTCATGGATTCCAGGGACTGAGGCCTAAATTTTAGAGCTCTTATTTTGCCTACCACAGTTGGCATGCCTGGGGCTATCCTTTTCACAAGGTGAGAAAGAAAATCAGAGTTCCAGATAGGAAAATGGAAACCACATCAATTGCTTTATTTTATTTTCTCAGTTTTTACAATTTTCAGTTTTTAAATTAACGTTAAAAAGGAACACATTTTGGTATCCAATTCACTGTATGAAATTTCAATTTTGCTATATTTATGGTTTCATAATTATGCATGATATGATTACCATTACATAATTATAATATAAAACAGATTGCTCACCCCAAAAACTCCCTTGTGCGACCTGTGTGAAATCACATCCTCTCCATCTCAAACTTCTTGCAAACCTTGGTCTGTTCTTTTATATTTTTATCTTTTTCAGGATGTCACATGAGTGGAATTATGCAATATACAATCTTTTGAAATTTCCAAATCTTGTTTAGACAAGGCACACACACGATCATCATCTCTGCTAGCCCTCTGTTTTTTCTATACCTGAATATTTTAAACCTTTGTCATGTGATGGGAATAACTCAACATTTCAAATACTTGAATTTCTTTGGAGGTTTAATTTATAATTTAGAGAAACACTATAGCAAGTATAGTGTTTAAGGAAACAGTATGGCAATTGATAATGAAGAGATTCAGTTGAGGATTGAACCAAACCCTATAATCAGAGTTAATCACATCAAGTTTAGTTGTACCAACTCTACCCTAAATTTTTATCAATAGATATTTTTCTGATATTTTAAGACTAAGTTTATTGATCAAAATTTATTTTAATCATATTAATTGGGTATGGTTAATACTTGGATTTTCCCAGGATTTAGCATAGAATAACGTATCTCAAAATTATTTAATTTTTTTGCACTAGCTATGGCTTTGTAGAGGTGAAAAGTGTTAGGATGGTTATTGCCTCAAGTAGGGCCTATACCTAAGCAAATTGTTTCATTAGCAAAAGAACAAAGTAGAAAAAAATTACAAATCGATGTAACATTGTGCCATTAAAGTTGAAAAATACCACTGAAAGGATGAAAAACAAAAGAATGCAAAGATAGTATAACACCCAGTGGTTCCAGTAATCTAGATAATACTCTTCCAATCTCCTTGGATGGAGCTGTCTACTTAGTTCACTTATACATGTGTTTCAAGGATCTTAGGTCTGCACTCATTTTCTGAAAAGCTCTAAAGAGTCTCTGAAGAACCTCAGTTTAAGATCTGTAATGTGAATAACTTCTCAATTCTTGTCATCTAAGGTCAGATGATGTCAAACTAATTGGTAAAAAGTAACCACAGACCAATTCCTTTATCTGTTGAACTGGTGGTAAGTAGTACCTAATAAGGTCATTTTCACAAGGTTGAAAAGCAGTCTTTATCTGGAATTTTTTTCCACATACCAATGCATCCAGGCTTAGATCATGTAAAATGAAAGGCTGATTAAATGAAGGGCTAGGAAAGAAAACTGTACCTGTTGGTATAAGAACTGAGTATAACGGGTTCATTTATCTAGTTAAGTTTGTGAAAGAATGAATTAAATATGATTCCAGACATTAGGAGTAACATGGACCTACGAGTCACCAGCTGATAGTAGAAGAACCTGTGATGTTAGAGGAAGGAATTCAGGGCCATGAGCGTGAAGGGTAATAATGCATTAGCTCATAGACGTTCAAGGATATCTGATACGGTAATTATTTTCAGTTTTAATATTTCCCATGTGTTGTTTCTCCATTTTTAGAGGATAAGGAGGTGATAAGAAAAGAGAAGTTTCTGAGTGAAGGTAAAATGTTATATAACTGCCCCAGAAAAATATGTTCCCCTATAAGTAGATAATTTGAAATGTCACAAGTGGGAACACGAATTTAAATTCATGTTCAGCCATTGTTAGTGCTGTGTATTTCTCACAGGAGAGTGGTTCAACCTATGTAGAAAATAAAACAACTCTTACTAGTGCATACTCATAACTCTCTAGGGAATATAATTGTTTAAAACCCCTTTGGAGATATTCAGCTGTTTCATTAGGACAGTATTCCAGTTCATATTCCATTTTTATGGTTTTTATGAAACCTTACAGGTGTCAAAAATGCATAAACTGGTCACATTCTGTGTTATCCTAAAAAAGTTTTTCCCCAACTACTTGTCTAATGTTGCAGCCAATATATCCCTACTATGATGGGTAGTTTCTGGAAGGTTGCTAAAACAAGTAATCATTGGAGATCATTTGGTTCCACCATGTAGCCTTTCTGGCTGATCATACAAATCCATAATTGATCTAAGATGTAGTTACTAAAAT